AAAAAAAAAAAAAAAAAGATTTTCTGTCGTAGCAGCAGTAGAATTGTGCACATGATCTCCCTGTATGACTTCTCCGTCTGTCCTGGAAGCTCGTCCCTGTCTGGTGCGTTAGCACGGCAGGAGGCAGTCCTCCATCGCACCCTCCTGAGGTGCAATCATCCACTAAGTGACCTTTATTAGACTGGCCTCAAACTCTCCACGCACTCCCAATCAATGAAGCCTCCAAACAAACAGCTTCTGGCTCGCCGAACAACATCCACCTCGCTCTTGTTTGTACTGCCTGCATGGTGTTTACCTTTTTTATTCTCTTCCTTCAGCTCTTTCTTGGCCACCTCTGGCGGAAGCTACGGTGTCATCGCCAGCGGCAGAGTGAGGAGAAAACCTTCCTCACACTTTGAGATGGAGATTAATGATGGTGAGCAAAAAAATGCATTTTATAATATGAGATTAGAATTTAAAAAAAAATATATAAATATCACTTTTTTTTTTGGTCAAAAAATGACTTGATAGTAGCACAGGATAGAAATGATCTGTAAAAAACGCAACCACGTCTGCTCCCATTTTGTGTCAATTTAATTGATATTTAAGATCTCCACGCCCGAGGAAATACAACCAAAAAGGTGTGTGACTTGATAAGGGTGTCAATCTTTTGTTGTGCATCCGCCTCACACTGACCTGTGATGTCCAAGACGCACCTTATATTAAATGTCCGTTATTTTAGACAGATTATTTTAAAATTTGCATTCATGTCAAATTTTTAATCCTGCACTTACACTTTAAATGAATTGCGGCAGAGTATCAAACGCCCTGAGAATACCGCATTCATTTGAAAATGGCAGAAAAGTCACGGGGAACTAAATTTTCCCCCCCCGAGATGTGGGGGTTGCCACAGAGTGTCATGTGGTCATCATGGCCACCATGTCGCTCCACCCTGCTTACATTCACACCAAGGAGAATATTTCCAGTCTTCAATTAACTGAACATACATGTTCTGAGAACGTTGGAGGAGAGAAACATTCAAGAAAACATACGGAAATAGGTAGCGCAGGGACCCGGTGGTTAGCATGTCTTTTTTACGGTTCTGAGATCCACTGAAATCCGTTCCATCGACACAAAAATATTGTGCTTTGGGTTGTGTGATAGAGTTAAGGGACCACTTTACAGTAAAAAAACATTAATACAGTACAATGAAACAATTGAAATACTGGAGTTACTAAAAAGAATGTACGACAATTTTATGGGTTTTAAATTCCCCAAATGAAGGTTAAAAATAGTTATTTTCCCATACCGATGAAGAATTTTCAAAAATCATGCTCTAGTATTGTGCACTCTGAGTAAATTGAGTAAAATACTTTTTTTTCATTACTTTGCTTTTAATTTTTTTTTAAAGTCACTTACAAACCAAAGAGCTAATGTTATACTCAATTATATTGAGTTGCCTTGTGGATGAAATGCACCAAATTTTAAAAAAAAGCTGCCTCGTCTTGCCTAAGGTTCCCAATAAAGTGCTAATCTCAACATGGCTCTGTGTCAAGGACAATGTTTGGTTCAAGTGAATGTTTTTGGGGGGGTTTTGTGTGCAGCGGGTCCTCCTCAGAAAATTGCCCGCCGCGTCTTCACCAACACCCGCGAGCGTTGGCGGCAGCAGAACGTGAACGGCGCCTTCTCGGAGCTGAGGAAGCTCATCCCCACGCATCCACTGGACAAAAAGCTTAGCAAGAACGAGATCCTCCGACTGGCCGTCAAGTACATCAACTTCCTGGTCACCTTGCTGGACGACCAGGCCCAGCACGGGATCGGGCACTCGGACTCGGATGGGGAGGAGGCACGCAAGATGGACTCGTCTGGCCTGGACAACAAACTGGAGCCTCTCTTTCCGTGTGACACCCCTCCTCCATCCCAAGGTGCCTCGCCACCTTCAACTTGCCCCGCGGTGACGAGGACCCACCACAGCAATCGAGACCCTGCCGATTCGGCCATCCCGCTCGTGACCTCGCCGACGAGCTCGAGTTGCGACAGCGACGTAAACAGCGAGGAGAGCTTCGGGGCAAAGGCCTCTGTGGTGACGCGTGGCGTTCTGGCCAAGGTCAAGGGTCAGATAAGAATGGTGACAGCTGCAAATGATGAGCGGTGACCACAAAAGGAAGCCAGGGGGTGGAAATGCCACAGGATGGGTTAGAACTGAGCCGACACAAAAGAGAGATGCTCGTTCTGTCGCTGTGCTCTCACATTAGAAGACTTTGATGTCATGTTGTTGGTTGTGTCTCTTTTTATTTTATTTTTTTTAGTAAAGTACACACTTTGTGCGGTTGCATCATTCATTCCTTATCATGTTTCATCCAAAGAAAGAAATCTAAAGGGGTGTCCATGTTGTCACTCTTTTCTGTCTGACTGAATCAACCTGAAGCAGTACCTGTTTTATCATAAGCACACCTAAAATGAACAACCGTGAAAAAAAAAAAAAATATATATATATATATATATATATATATGGCCATGAGTGCTGGGAAGAAGTTTTTTTAACACCAAAAATGATTGGGAAAATGGTGATAAACCGCCAATGTGTTTTCCATGGAAAACGGGGGTTGGCTGCCCAAAAATTAAAAAAAAAAACCCCAAACAAATACAAAATATTGAAAAACATGAAAATATTGTAAAAAAAATTCTGTGAATCTGCGGATGCTGAACCACAAGTATGTGGGCATCCAGTGTACACGCTCCATATGGGAAATTGACCTTTTAGTTGCTTGTTTTGACATTTTTGGTTCTCTGGAATCTGGAGTAGCAACTCACCCATCAAGTATTACACAACCAAATCAGAAACCAATGTTGCCTACACTTGGTTTCTCTACTTGTGACTTTTGCAGGGATCAGATATTTTATTTTCTACCACGCATAGCTGATTACACAGACCTATCATCACGTCATGGCCATAAGGTAAGCAGAGCTGCAGCGTTGTGAGATTCACGATTCGTATAATTTGTGTTCTGCTCTGAATACCGGTGCATAAACATACTATATAAGGCTAAAGGGCAGCGATCAGTAGCACAGCCACCACAGTTCGAAAAACGAGCGCAAAAGCTTCTGCTAGAATGAAAACAAATCAGAAAAAGCCCGCGGGAACAGCTGAAACGATTGTGGTGGTTATGCAGAGTCAACCACAGACAACCAGGTGTGAACGATTCCACTGCCTGGGTGAAGGAGAATACTCACAGGCATATATTGAAGATGACTAACATAAAAAAGGGTTTCCTTTACGAATATGAGCTGTTTTTGTTATTATTATTAGAGTAGTACAGTAGTAGTACTAGTAGCAGCAGCAGCAGTAGAACTAGCAGTAGGTATCAGAAAGAAAAATCCTGCCATGTTCCTGATTATGACAAAATGTGAGCGTTTAATCTTTTTACGTTTGTTTTGATCTTTTCCACCAAATTTTGTGGTAGGATTTAGTTTTGAAAAGCCCCAGCGCCAATTTGGAGGTCATATTTCTATCTTGGTTACCTCAATTGTTTTTTTTTTTCTTCAAAGGACAATTTCCTTCTCAATTCTTTTAAAAGACAGGCTATGTGCTGATGACAACAGACGAATAACGTGAGTCATAAACAGCAGGTAAACAAAAGCTATGCGCTGTGACACCCCAAAGCCGGATGTTGCCATTCGCTGACATTATGTTGTGACAATGGCAAGCATGGGAAAAAGACCTTTATCGTAATCCCATTATGTTTTTCATGGGTACAGTATTTTTATTTTTTTTTTATGGTCTGTTCTACGTGCACACATTCGTGCGTGTGTGTGTGTGTGTGTGTGTGTGTGTGTGTGTGTGTGTGTGTTCTGGTGGTGTTTGACAACCAGCAAGGATTTATGTAACCACAGCAACTGTAAATGTGTGGTAACGTGTAAATCTGTAGGATGTGGTTCAAGACGGATTTTAGTGTATTGGGCAGGGCTGTTCATTAGCTTCCTAGTGGGGGGTGGCTTGATACATATCGGATATGTTTGGGCGTTAGGGTGGCGACTGCATGGAAGTTGGGAGGTGGGGGGGGGGGGGAACGGTCCCAGGCTGTTTCTGGGAAGCCCCCTGCACCAACATTTTGGACCACAGAACAGGAAGTTTGCACAATATTTCACTGACACCCCAAAACCACATTGACTGGGCTGGGGTCTTGAAATATTTATTGCTTTGCATTTTATTTTTTTAAATCCTCTCAAAAATTGGGTAGTTAAAATTGATTTGTTATATGAAATATATGACTACATATAAATACTGTAACATGTACACATATACAGTATAAATACATACTGTATATGTAAATTTAAAAATCATACTTATTTTTTCCTATTTTTTAATTGAATTTATCTCAATAAGTAGTTATAATTATTATTTGAATAATTAGATATCAAATTGGTCAATTGATGACATGTTTCATTACAAATAAAATGAAAAAATTAAAACTCTTTAATTGCAGTTAATATAACACGATTTAAATTATGTAATTATTATTTTTAATGGGAATATGTTATTTTATTCAAATAGACGACTTTATAAGCATTACATATGCAGTAACTTTTTCTTTTTAACCGATTCCACAAATGATCTCCACATTTGTCCATTTCCAAGACCAAATCGATAACAAATAAGGGTGAATGTTCAGTTTGTGTGCGTGTATGTTTACCTCGCCTCATGGAGGCCAGACAGGGTGAAGTCGGCCAGCCTGACTCTCTGAGATAAAAATGTCAGCACCTCCACCCCTCTACCTCCAGAAAAACGAAGACCTGAACCTGTACACACAAAATATGAGCAGACCAAACTGTATATAAATTTTACAACTAACATTGAAATCAGATTATGTCATGAACTAATTTACTTAAATCCAAATGACGTTATCGTGTGCACCCACTTGACAAAATAAAATGGAGTAAATTGAAGATGTTTCAACCTTGCTCAATCATGTGTGACGTGAAGAAATTAAAGCCAGGAATAATTAATATCAGTCTACAAAGAGTGTAGTATCAAATATTTTATTTCCACGGTAATCATGCACAGAAATACATTAAACATTGACATTTCATTCAAATCTATTGCACGCAGCTAGACATGAATTGTGTAGAGCCCAAACATGTCAATCCAGGAACACCATAACTCCTTCCTTCACATCCAAGTGATTATTGGAATTATTGAAGAAATGTGTTGAAACAGCAGTTAATCTTATCAAACGAGTAGTGAGCCAGACTTTCACTTTGTAGAATGTGTGCAATGCCATGTGGTGAGAGATCAGGACCGGTAAGGTCTTATTTTTGCAAGCCTAAGCACTACCAAAACTGCTGACCTACATTTACATTCTCAATTCCACAAAATTGTGTTGATGTATTCCCAAAAAGTAATGTCTTCATTTCATAGCGTTCCTCCTCCCTGCACTGCTCCCAGGACATGCCTGTCGAAGTTTCATGGTTTTTGGCCAATCAGATTTCAGCCTCTGTTGCCATGTCCAATCAAATCTGCCCAAGGTATCCACAATCACCACTGTTGTTTAGTGTTTCTTGAACCAATCAGATTTGAAATTCATCTTCACGGGGCCAGGGCGCTGGCCCTCAATGATATCGTCTTTTTCCTTTCTCTGATTGGCTTGTCAGAGAAAAACTTAGATTTAATTTATACATTTAATAATCAGCATCGGGTGAATATGTTTTGAAGGATTTTATTTTTTTTTGACAGTCCATGTCTTGTCATGATATTCAAGAAATATTGATTCTGAACTGCTCCAAATTATTTATGGTACTTTTATGAATTGCCATTAATTGGAAGTGTTACGAGGTGGATTAAGTTGGCTAAATCCCCACTGAAGGTCGCAAATGCACAGCTCGCCATTGATGCAATTTGCTCCAGTCGACACTTCATCCCATTAGTCCTTCATTCCCTTTTCATGACTTTCTCTCCTTGTTTGACCAGTGAATCCACCGTGTCGTTCACTCGTCTTTCAATGTTACTCGCGGCCTTCTCCGGCACGCTTTTCTTGCCAAACTTTCGCCTGCCCACCTCGGTGGCTGCAGAACCGATGACGGCCCCCGCGGCTCCGCCGATGGCCCCCGCCAAAAACACCCCCAGCGCCAACCCCAGCAATGCGCCCACGATGACGACCTTTGGCACCTTTTTGGCATTGGCCACCATTTTCTGCCACACGGAGCTCTCGCTAACCATTTTGGCGCCCGCTTTGGCTCCAGAGCCCATCTTTTCCCACACCGGACTCTGGGCCACCTTTTTTGCTCCGGCACCGAGTCCGGCTCCGAGGCGCACTGAACCGTCAGCCACCAGTTTGGCACCGGACTTGGCCCCGGAACCAACCTTTTCCCACACGGGACTCTGGGCCACGGCTTTCGCTCCGCTTCCGATCCCCGATCCGACACGCATGGAGCCGTCTGCCACGACTTTGGCTCCGGAGCCGACCCAGGTCGAGCCGTCTACCACCACTTTGGGTAGTCTGTCTCCCACGAGCTTGGAGACGTGTCCGGCTTGAGCGCCCACCTTCCCCCACACAGGACTGTTGGCCACCGTCTTCTGTACGTTCTGCGCTCCGCTCCCAACCGAGCCCCATACCGGACTGCCCATCACCTTCTTAGCTCCGTCGCTGACCCACACCGAGCTGTCAGACAACAGTTTGGGCAGCAACTTGGCGTTGGACTGCACTTTCTCCATCACGGACTGGAACACTGAAGGTGACATGTTGGCCACTGTCGTAATCGGTGGGAGGCTCTCAATGTTCATGGTGCTGACGCTCCTCTCGGCCTCGGTTCGCGCTTTCTCAACCTCTTCCTCTCTCACTTCCTCTTCGGCCTCAGCCACGGTCTGCATGTAAGGGTAGAGGGGGCGCCTCTCGCCCCAAAACTGCTCTCCAAGGCGTTCTTCTTCCTGCTTCTGCCGTCTCCTCTCCCTCGCGATCTCAGCCTGTATCTCCCTCACTCGGTTCTCGGCCTCTTGGAAAGCGGGACTGGAATAACACTGCCCCCCTGCCTCGGCCGCTATCTGCTCCACCTTCTCCAGGAGCTCCTCCACACTTCCGCCATAACCGTCTCTCTCCAGGATGTGGAACCTGTCCCCGCATTTCTCCACCAATTTTAACAAATCATCACGCTGACCCGCGATGTACGCCTCGACACTGTCGCTGCCGGCCTTTCCGCTCTTCCTCAGAAGATCGGCGTGTGTAAAGAGGACCAGTGTGTGATTCCCGACAGCATTCGGCCCAAAGACAGTCTCCAGAGCACAGAGTGATTGTAGCTCCAACTTGGCCGGCTGGTCCATTGGGACGCAGAGAAGGAAGGCGTGGGGACCAGGACTGGACAGGGCCACGCAGGAGGAGATGAGAGCTCGCACCTCATCTGGAGTACGCTCTGAGTGGAACCAGTCTGGGGTGTCCACTACTGCCACCTGCGGGAAGGGAGGAGAATGGAGCCAGATGTAAACAAATGTAGACAACTCTCATGATTATAGATGTATATTGTGAGAGGATAAGTTAGAATACTTGGTTTGGAAACAACGATTTGTTTACCGTCAACACAGGGATCAGTTCGGTGTTAGCTCTGTTGAGCACAGGTGTCAAACTCGTGGCCAAGGGGACAAATCTGGCCTGTCTCTTCATTTTATGTGGCCCGCGGAAGCAAATCTTGTATACAGTATCAGCTTCCACGATTCTTGCTAAAATCTCGACCAAAATTTCTAAATGTCATATGTACAAATAATAATATTGCAAGAGATTTTTGTTCGCAAGCCCCTTTTTATGGTAATTTAAATAAGAGCGTGAGATGAATAAATATGTATTGGATCGTAAAGCTGAACAAACTACTGTATGACCCTTCGACGGCTGGCTCGTGACAATACATCACGATATTTCCGTCTTATTCATTCCTCTTTTTGCTCTTTCTCAACATATTAAACCATTTTTTGTTTGGTATTATAAAGTGCGTTTAAAGGCCTTAAAAATAATCCCCATAAACGCTATCAAAACACGGCGAGGGAGTATTTTAATAGCGTATTGTATTGTATTTCTGTGTCGTGGTTATTATTTATTGCTAGGGTGGTCTGGAACGTGACCCCCAGCGGTGACGTTGTAAGTTAAACAGTACTCAGAGATCATGAATTTCCACAAAGAACAAAATTCAAATAAAAATAGTACTGGCCCTTCTTCCAGCGACCACTGCTTTCATCTTGGCGCACTCCTCAGTGATGGCGACCAGACTGTCAGGCCTGGATTCAAACACATCCCGCCCTAGGATGGCGTTGCCAGCCGCACTTTTTCCCGCTCCGGATCGTCCGATCAATACCAGACGTAGCTCCGGAGAGGATGGCGAGCTTACGGAGGTTGTGGCAGGGTACGGGTCGAAGTTCGTTGTGGAGGGTTCATAAACGAAGGCCGGGTGTTCGGGGGAGGAGGTGGGGGAGTCCTCTGGGGAATTCTCCTCAAAGCTGTTGATTCTGTGATGAACTAAGAGATGACAGATGGTTTAATAAGCAACTCATCAATGTAAACATCACGAAGCAGTGGTCAAGAGTGTGTCTCACGAGTGGAAACAACTTGAGCTGAGGTTGTTCCATCCATCATTTGTGAGAGTCTGGCTCCATCTAGAGGACAAAGAGGAATCAGTCGTCATCTCTCAAGCAGCCAGCAACAGTTGCTCAATAGGACAAAGTGACATTAGGTGTGCTACATACTAATGGGAGCGCTAAAATATTCTTAGAGCATGTCCAACTTCTGACGTTCCAGGGAAGATTTAAGAAATAACAAGGCTGACAACCTCTGTGAGTGTGTTGTTGAAGTGCATTCAAGTTCTGAAAAGTGTTGAAAATCAGTGGTTGGTAACATCACAATCCATTTTAAAATAGAGCCATCAGTGACTTTTCAACCACCGGCCTATGCTTGCAATTTTAATGCAGAACAGCCTAAGATCGTTGCTGATTGACGGAGCAAATTGCTGATTATATTCACTTTACAAATTACACAGTATGCAGACTGAATTCCAATTGAAACAATGTTGTTATTCTGATGTGTCTACATCGATGTACTTTTGCCTGCCTTAACTTTTCAACTTTCCAGTTTTCTTGAGTGCATTAAGAAAGTCGAAACCGAAAACAAATCCTGGGTTAATTTTTAGTGGGCTACCGATCTCATCCATTTCCTAGAACGGTCGACTTAGTCGGATTGCAAACTTGAATTTGCTTGAGAAGCGCAGTACACTCTGAAGTGGTTGCCAAGCGAATTGCAGGGGTTGCTGATTGTCTCAGTAAAATGTTCATCCGCTATTCTATTGAGTGTCAAACAGTCGCACATTTTCTTGGGTTTCTGAGAAGTTATCACAACAAATGTTTGTTGTATTTTGGATCATGAATTGATATGTGTATAGTACATATGTAATTGTGAGACCGATACATGATAAACAGTAAAATAGGGGTGCCCATGTTTTACGTGTCAGCTCATCAGCAAACTTTGCAGAGGCCTGACAATGATTCTGATCCTTTGAATCAGGTGAGGGAAACATGTACAACAGGCAGGACAGGCTCTAAATAAATTAAGTTAATGTGATGATAGTAGGAGAAGATCCGGTTTATTAGCCGTTGACCTGCATTGAGTCTGTAAGAGCGCCTCTCCTGCTGATCATCATTCCGGCCCGACTGCCACCCTCCTGGTGTTGAAGCCGCCAGACTGGAGTGAAGCGCCTCAGACACTCCCTCATTGATACTGTCAATCTCGATTTCTCTCCTCCTCTCCCAGGCATCTCTGTGCGAATCCACTTCCTCGACACTCCTCAGTGTGTCTACGTTGGACGGGTAGCCGGATGCCAGAGCTTCCCTTTTCTCTTCCTTTTGCAGTCGGAAACTTTCAATCAGCTCTCTCTTCCGCTGCTGCACGCGCTCTTCCATCTCCCTCTCCTCTTTTGTTTTGAGGCAGAACACCCCACTTTTGCTCACCATGTCCTCCACCTATTACGCAGAATCGCATAAAAGATAATCCCGTATTTTATTGAGGGAAAGGCCCACACACCACAGTGAAAAGTCGCATTCACTCTCGTCCAAATTTCAAGTGTCAGTCTAGCTTAGAGTCAATATGATAAACCGCCGGTCGAGACTAATGAGTGTTGATGTACAGCAGGGGTCACCAACCTTTTTGAAAATGAAAGATGTAGCTCTCAGTTTGGTTATTTCTTAATGTGAAGAGCTACCAGTGTGATACGCATTCCAGAAATTACAATTTTTCTCTGATGACCTTTAATGATGTTATTATGAATAATTAATGACACTGATCATGTTCATGAGTTCTCAAAACAATAATGTTTTGAAAAAGGTAGGAAACATAAGTATCGTACAACACTTTCTATAAATCTCTATGGGGCCTTACGTTTTCAAAGGATCACATCGACAACATTCCTGGGAAGTTACAGTTCATCATCCCTGTTGAGCTATTTTCAGAACAGGCCCGTGCGCTACTCATGTGGTAGTTACGTGGCACCGTGTTTGTGACCTCTGACGGACAGTATGCGGAAGTGTAGCTTGGGCTCTTTATACCGTCAACGATTTGCTTTTTTCTTTATCTTCACCATCACATCCTATACCAGCTAGCCAACACTTTAGAGCAGCGGATGAATTCATGATGGTAAAATTGATAAACACTCTCTCACTCTCCTTGCGGCACTCTCACTCCCTCACTCCTCCTCCTCTGTCTCCTACCTTGCCCAGAAGCTCTCGAACCTGCGTACGGTCCCGCGGCTGACGGTTATTGATGACATGGTAGCGCCCCCCACAAAGCCCAATCATTTGCCTCAGGCCGGGATTCTCCTTCAGAAGGTATTCCTACAGAAAAAGACAGAAGAAGATTCCATTTGCATCAAGACCACTGCAATCTCTTTTCAAAAGCAACCTTGTCACGGAACGTAACTGGACTACTTTTTGGGTCTTGGAGACGCTACGATACCATTATTAGCCTTGTGGAATACTTGTGTCAACTGACACTTACTGCTCTCATTCATGCCGTTTTCACTGACGAAGAGAGGGATCAATTACATCACGTTTATTATGCATTGCAAGATGCAGAAAGTTGTTTCCATGCCAACAAATGACTCCGCTTCCAATTTCAGATGAAGATATAATGCAAATGTTAACATTTTTACCCTTGAGCTATTAAAACATAATTCATCACATTGGCCTTCCAGTACTGTACCTGCCACAATAAATAAGAATATCATGGGCAATTATTTCGGTAACTTCATTCAAAAAGTGAAACTATTCTAAACAAAAGGCCAACTCCTACATCAAAAGTATTTTTCCATTGTGTCGTATTTAATATTCTATGTTCTTGAGATGGTGAATTTTGGGGTTTCTGTTGGCTGTGAACTAAATAATTAAAAAAAAATAAATAATTTAAATACCGGTAAACTTTTTTTTGAGCTTTCCACAATATTCAGATGCATTAAGTTGCACTTGTGTACAGCATATCATTTATGGTACATGCACGCTAGTAATTACTTGAGGGAAAAGATCTTAAAAGCAACCTCAAATGTTTTCAGCGGTTACAAATTAGATAATCGAGTCATGTGTCTGACTGCTTCATTTCAATATGAGCCCTTTGAACACTGCCTGCCTAAAATCAACAGAAGAGAGCCTCCAGACAGTCTTCCCTTCAAAGTGCACATTGGTACTCACCTCCGCAGTTCTTCCAATGAGATAATCGCCACAGGTCAGCAGCACCATGGTGTGCTCCAGTATTTCTTTTCCAAACACTTGCTGCAGCTGCGTAGGCACTTGGCCGTCCATCTAGTCAGAAGCACAAGAACGATAGGCAGCAGAGTGGTCACTCCCCAAAAGTGTTTTTCCTCACCGTGAGGAGCAACAAAGGAAATTCTAATGTGTGATTTTTAATAAAAACATTTGCATGACATCAATATTTGAATCAGCAATCAAAATAAAATATGTAAATGTAACGAGGAACTAACAAAAGAAAAAGAACAAATTACATCCACTTTCAACAATACTGTAAAACTTAGGAAGTCTTAAATGTAAACAATCTATTTGATTTATTCAAGTACAGCGCATGTATTACTGTGATTATAAACATTTACATTTTCTACAAGCTATAATCTCTATAAATATAGAATACATTTAATAAGAAAAATAATCTATATGTACATAGTGTAAGATAAAACAAAAGCACGCTGAGTCCAAACATTTACACTGCTAAAATGTAGATGACACACCAAATTACAACCTGATCCAACGTTTAATATTCAGCATATTAGAATTCAATTGAGGAATGTGTGAAATGTGGAGTCTGAGTTTGAAAACTAGTTTGAGATGACAGCTTCTGACCCACCAGTATATGAACAAATTTGACAAATTGTCACTTCATATTTCCAACTTTCAATTCAATTGATGTTTGGTAATATATTGATACACAAACCGTATGCAGATGGAGTCACACAATCACAGAGCATGTGTTTTTTGGGGTGGTAATTTGTGTTTCCGATGCATTTGAAATCAATCAGCAAAATTAAATTTGGGATTTGATTTTTTTTTAAAAAAAAAGGAGCATTGTCATCATTATCATGTATGGACGGTGTTCAAAATTGAATGGGAATATCCTTGCAAACTCAAACAAACAAACAAAAGAAAAAACAAAGTCCTCCTTGGTGGAGATGAACATAGAACCAACCTCTGTGAACTGGCTGACAGGCACCAGCAGCAGAACGGCATGAGGACCGGGCGCCAGCAGGGTCATGGCTCGCTCAGTCTCCTTCTTCACGCCCTCGTCCATTTCCATACCGTTCCAGTACCACCTGGGGGCCTCCACCAGGGTCACCATCCTGCCCTCGGCGAAGTCCTTGCGCAGCTGGATGCTCCGGGGCGTCGCCGTGGACATGTCCGTCAGCTGGCTCAGGATGGTGTCGGCCGACGACGTCTTGCCGCATCCGATGTTGCCCAGCAGCACCAGCCTCAGCTCCGGGTACGTCGAGTCGAAGTGCTGCATGTGCATACTCATGGCTGGAGGAAAAGAGCAAACAGGGCTGACTTGGAGCTCCGCCAAAGGTGTGTTCAGCGGCAATTTCTGGCATGTGCATTATGTTTGGCTGCACAGGGTGACAAAAATTGAAACAAAATTTGAAAATACGGCGTAATCTTGGTTTTCGAACAATTCGATTATTCGTTTTTTTTTTTCTTTAATAAAAATTACCTCGGGTTACACCCTATTTTCAGTCATGTTTTGCACCGCATAAACATCATTGGCAGTGTGCTTCAGGTATCTGTTTTTTGTTTTTGCCTAAAATTGCCACAACATCCCACACAATAGCTGTGCTGCATTGTGGGATGCCATTCAAAATATGACTGCCACTTGGTACATTTAGCTTGTTATGGCTGAACACTTACCTTAATTTAACACTCAAAACCGCCCAATGTTTGTTAAGACGTGCCTCAAAAGTCACATAAATCCTGAGGGTCAAACGGTCTTATTTGATGCGATGCAAGATAGCATGAAACCTCAAAAGACTGCACTTGTGTTCAGCTCGAGTTTCAAAGGTCTTTGTGTGTGACACTTCAGCCCTTTCATTGAACCTACTGCGCATGTTTTTGGAATGTGGGTGCAAGTCAGAGTACCTAGGAAAACCCATGCCAGATTTGCGGTGATTCAAACACATAACATTTCAAATGTGAGGCCAAAGTGCTTCCATCACAGTTTCCTATGGTAACAGTTTTTAAATCCAAACAAATTTGTGATTTATCAGTCTTGTTTTTGTGTGGACACAGTTCTACTGTCGCATTTTTGTACAGATGAGTCATTTACGGCAGTTAAATCTTCGATGATGTTATGAACAGGTACATCTCAACCAAACCTTGATGATCCAGTCTTATTTATGACTTTCTCTTTCATGCGTGAGTTTATATGGACAGCCAGTCATTTTATTTTTTTTCCCTGCTGCATTCTTTGTTGTTGTTCTTTTCTTTTTCTTTTTTTATTCGCTTCATATGTGCAACACCTTGCCAGTCCTGCCTGACCGCATTCTACTGCATTCAAATTCATTTTTTTTGACTGGTGCAAATGCACGGAAAATGTTACAAAATGATCCATAATGAACGCACAATTTAATACAAGCTTCACACAACATTTCCAAAGTCAGGCGCATTGTGCATTCTCAAGCTTGACCCGGTACGGAATAACAAATATAAAGTCGACAAATCGTAGCTTGACATTTACCACATCAGACGCAAAGTATTATAATTGTCCCCCCAACAAACTTTTCATCCTGCCAGCCATTTGTTGTGAGAGAAATTCTTGTCCCAACAGATCCACACCACATGACCTATACAACAATCTCAAGCAACCCGGATTGAAAAGCTTAACGAATGAGCTTCAGACACAGCCTTACGAGTAAAAAAAAAAAAAAAAAAAAATCAAAGGTAACTCACTTAAATGTGAGCTCTTGAAGGCAGCTTTCGATGTTATCGTCTTCTCACTTGAAGCCGCTGGTGCATAAGTGTGTGTCTCATCCACACCAGTTCGGTGTGTGTCGACTCCCAGGTAACGGCTTGCATAATACAGGAGTCACACATTTGCTGTCTTACCACTCCCCAAGTGGAGGGGATGCATTAGGACGTTTTCGTGCGGATAACAGGTTCCACAGTCTGCAGGCTGTTTGGCATTCCTTGACAAGGCGCAGGCGGGAGGCGTATCCCAGGGCACTTTCACCACACCCAGAAAACACAAAACCACCTGCATGGCTATTTTTAATTGCTCCTGCCGAATATTTGTTTGAATGTCAACATGGGAATGTTTTGATTTGTACTATAGACATCTGAGCGATATCCAACAGAAATATATACTGAAAATTGAGAGAGTTTCACGAAGGGGTGTGTTGATGTTAGCACAATGTGTGCTGTACTTTCTCACCAGTGTTGTAGCCTTAAGCCTGTTAAGGCCTGTGGATGTTGGACTGATTACAACACTCAGCAAACTAGAAAATGTCACATACGGTAATGTAACTGTCATGAGTAGTATTTATCGACAATTAAAAACCAAATGCGCTTGTGCGCATAGTCAAGTTTGAACTGAGGCCGCAGATAGTTGGTACGAGCAGAACAAGAACTTAATCTATTTAGTATTTACATCTCAAAAAGAGTCCTATATGCATCTGACACAAAGGTCACCCGATGCAGTGGATGTCAATTTTCAGAAAACTAATTACTGTAATTGTACCCGAAAAGACTCACACTTCACACTTACGGAGAATTTTGAATCTTCAATGAACCATGGGGAATTTGTGAGGAAAACCCACGAAGGAAAGAATATGCAACCCCCACATAGGAGGGTCAGAGCAGAGATCCAAACTCAGGACCTCCTGACTGAGAGGCCTGTGCAAACAGCAACTCCATTGTGCTTCCTTATCACATCGCCCCAAAAATTAGAAATAAATAATAATAATGATCAAGCAATTGAAGCACCAATATAGTGAATTTAATTGACATAGTGGTGTATAACATAAATATATATTTTTGAAATAAAAATCGTGCAACCTAACGGTGGTCATAAAGTGAGAGTCATTCATTACATACAAAAATGAAGTTGTCTGAGTGGATTCATTCAAAAACCCGGCATTATATAGGCGATGTTTTCCAGAGCAGAACCCTTTAAAACAACGAATACAAATAAAAGGCTTTGACAATAGCACATGTGCTACACTGTCTGTGTTGCACACCACTTACCGGCGTGTTCTCTGTGCAGCTCTGCAGCTCTGCTATAAGTGAGGTGAGGCACATGAGTGGAGCAAGTGCACACAGCAGAGAGTCCAAGAGAAGAAGCAGGCTTCTCGACACACACACTGGTCTCTGTGAACACAAAACAGACCGCTTATCCTGTTAAAGGTCGCGGGGCGCTGCAGTTTATCCGAGCTGACTTTGGACGAAAGACTGACTACAAACTGGACTGGTAGCCACTCAATCACACGGCGGATGCCGAGACCAGGGTCAGAACAGTTTTAGATTTTTCATAACAGTTTGTTTTTATTTTGTGATGACTTTTTTTTTTTAGTTCAGTTCGTCTCAATTTCTTTTCAGAGGAGTTTTTTAAAAAAAATTATTTTTAACTTAATTACTGTTTAGTATTATTTTTTTGTCTCACACACGCACACACAAGAGGAGTATTTGTCGATTGCAGAAAAAAAGTCACCAACTATTGTGCAATAAAGTAAACTACAATTCTCATATGACTATTTGACGTTCCTTCTTCTGTGCAGACATACAGCAAAGCACAAACCGAAATAAATACATTTAAAATGAACTTCAAACGCTCATATATGACATTATTTGACCTTCACTGCGTTTTATGAACTGAAAATCCAGTTTCAGTTTGAATTTTTTAAAAGCATTTTCATATTTATTTTCTTTCATTTACAATTTTTTCCCTTCAATTTTAGTGTTATTGTTAGTTTTCATAAACTATAAAAACCTTGTCAGAGACAGACAAATGATCACACTCACGTATACCGTAGTCAGCAAGTTGGAACTGAATCTACGCAGCCCTCACAGAAGTCAGGCAAGTGAAATTGTTAAACCAGTGACAAGGTACACACATACTATACCCCCCTCAATCAGGATGTACAGTACTCACGTTTGTCCCCTGAGTAGTCAGCAAGTTGGAACTGAATCCACGCGGCCTTCACAGAAGTCAGGCAAGTGAAATTGTTAAACAAATGACAAGGTACACACATACTATATCCCCCTCAGTCAGGATGTACAGTACTCACGTTTGTCCCCTTCAGGAGGTGTCCAATCAGCAACAAGGCTTCTCCGAGGAGGTGTAGATGAGCAGCAGCACTAACAGGAACAGAGGAGGCAGGTCTTGTAGATTCCATTGCGTCCCATACTGAGCCCATGGGTTCGCACATACACGCAACGGGACCAACTATGTCCCTTGTGGGCCTGGGCACAGCAGGACTCAGCGTGGTGCTGACGGTCATTGAGATGGCCGTCGCTGAACCAGGAGCAGTCATGAAGAGGTGAGGCCTGCAGTCTGCCTCGTTGTGCTTTTCATTGGTAAAGTCCATTTCAGAACTGCCACGTTCCTGAGCATGAAACAGTTTGAACAAAACGAGAAAAATGACGAATGAGAATTAGATGAACAATACTGCCCTCTAGTGTACAACATGATTGAAAATTTGAATCTCTGACTGTCGACATTTATTATTTCTCCAATGTTTGACAGTATTCTATGTCATGCATAACCATGAAATGACATAAAGCAAACGCGAACGGGTCACAGTCCAAATGTCTACCGAAAGTTAACTGCACGAGCCCATGTTGCAGGGGGGACAAACTCACTTTGTAAGGCATGGTGGTGTTATTTTCCTCCACACACAACTGTGCTTCTTCACAGTCGTTCATGTTCCCGTAAGAATGTTGGTCAGCTCCTCTGGGTTCATTCATCTTGGACAAACAGGCCGAGGAATACAAGTCAAACGGCACATACTGTAATTGCAGCCATTTTTAAAGCAAGAGTTTTGACGTTTACTAATGTGTCCTTTGAATGTGCCTGAAGGAAAATAGGGTCCGAGATACACTGGGTCAAGTTCACGGTCAACTGCCCTTGTGCCTGAATAAAAATGAAGGGGGCGGGGTGCGGATATTTCGAAAAGAGGGTGTGAGAAGCAACTTTATTCGTCTTAAGTGTGTAGTTATATTGCACTGTTTTAAAGTCGTTATTCATAATTGTATTTAAAGGTTAAAAAGACACCCACAGTTCAAGAAAGAAGGGGGGGGGGGAAGAAAACGCTGACTAACGTTTAGCGCTTGGCTTTCTGCTGAGTCAGGTTAGGCACTCACCCTGCGTAGGCTGATCAGAGGTCAGTTACTAGTCTTAAAAACAAGAGTGACTTCAGATTGAGTCATAGTCTTCCTGTGAGTGTTTTATTTTTTTATGTGTAAAAGAGTGCCAGTGTTTGAGCAAAGCATGTCAATAAATAACGAATAGCAATGCTTGCAGCGGGTGGGCAATCTTTAGTCAAGTAACATACAGCACATTTGACAATAAAGTTGTACTTGACTTGAAGTACTTAAAGGTGCAGTGACTGTATTTTAATTAAATGAGCTGAAACCCTTCAGCGGTGTTCACTGCACATACACTCTCAGTAGTATATTAACCTTAATTGCACAATATTTGTTATCGCCTTTCGATAACGTGGCTTTCCTTTTTATTTATGTTCCCTTAGTTTATATTGCTGTCTTGTTTTACTTGTCTGCCAACATAGAAAAAAACCCAAACGACAAGGAACAGGAATAGAGAGTAAAAAAGAAAAAAGAAAACTTACATTATATGTAAAATGTGTTTAAAAGCGTGTGCTCTCAATTGTTCTGATACATGAATCCATTTATGCACAAAGAGACTCGATCACTTTGTTTAATGGTGCATATTTGTAGTTATTTGCAAATTAATGTTGCATTTTTTGTGTTTTTTTTTTTTTTTTTTTTTTACAAGGCACAAGTTGTTAAAAGATGGCGCCAAAGCCCTTGCTAATAGGAAAGTAGTAATTGGTGTCATGTAATCAGACGTGGTAGCCAAAAACTGCACTTTCGTTCCAGTACTGTTATTAAATTTAATAACTTTACTTAATATGATTAAAGAGAAAATATATTTTTTAGAAATAATTACTTGAATAAGACTAAGTATTCAGTGAAAAATCAAGTACTGAGTAACTGGTGAATAGCTTGTTGTTTGAATCATTATTAAATCAGCATATGAACGTTCATTTGACAAAGAAATAAAATAGGAATGTGCAGATTTAGATATTGCCCAACAATATTACTTTAACTTAACTAAATTAAATTCAATTATAATAAATTTACGTACTTTCTGCCTTGCGGATGGAGCCATGGAGGCTTTGTAGTTGGTCTAGCTCAGTTTGATCAGTCAAAAGGAGTAATTATCAAATATTGCTAAATATTGCATCATATTAAGTGGTTTGTGCTGAGTGTAGGATTGGCTAGGCTGTTACAAGTCTGCAAAAACCAAAACAAATGGGGTTACCATTATGCTAGCATTAATAGATAAAAATAAGAGTAGCGAGTGGAAGCTAGCTCAATGTAACAAACTAAAAGTAGCGATTCAAAATTGGGACTCCACTAAAATGAAATAAAACATTTATGTGACTATCAACATCACACATTCAAATTTGCCGTGAACTCATGTTCAAAGTGCTGATGTACAAAGTGTGCACCATTATGTGACTGTTGCCTTCTTTGCGACTCAGAGGCCCTCCCTCGTGCCAAATCCCTTTGTCATGTTTAGCGTTAGTCTACAATGAACAACTGCTGAACACCAAATGATGCGTCATGTTTAGCACTCGGGCCTCCTCCGGCTGTTATTCCAGGCCATTGCTCAACTTTTCCACTCTCTCTCTTCCCTCCCAAGTTGCTGAATCACGTTAAGTGGTTTGTGCTGACCTACCTTCCTGTTTTCATTCCTCTAGTGGGAGGGAAGAGGAGGAGTGTATAAAAGCAGAGTAGGATGGCTCAAGCTGGACAAAGACAATCACAGCAAAGCCGGTGACTACTGACGGAGGAAAAGAGCAACACAATGGAGACACAGAAGATGCAAAGAGTAGAAAAGTAAGAATTGATTTGATTGATCTCAGTAGCCAATAGATTTTAATATCGGTTGTATACAGCTTTGCATGTGCTGATTTTTGTTTATTTATGCCCATCATATACATAAAGTATTTATGACCGCTTTCATGTTAGACAGTCAGAAATATCTGGACAGTGACCGCTTCAATGATGTTGTCTTTCCACACCACCAGGATGGATGTGAAATAAAAGGATCAACATGTGGAGTTAAGAGCTTTCACAAAAATATGACATTTAGCACTGAGGATTGACAGACATTTTGTGAAAAGCATTCATGAGTATTTCGGTCGAGTGACATTGTAAATAGAGCCATTGATAGTGAATGAAAATTTGTTGCAGCCATGTAGGGGCCTGCATTTATAATAAAAAAAAATGCAATCCTCAATTATCGTTAGTTTTGTCAAAAAATGAAGACCTAAATCTTGAGTTGCTTTTCACAAAGACATCAAGGCCCTCAGTTGCAGTTGCCTTCCCTTTTATCTTCAGCCAGACAAAAGCAACCTCTTCTTGGATGAGATCAGGGCACTGAAGTATTATAACTTGACAAATAGTTCATCACGACAAACCTTTGCTGTCATGTTGCATGAAGCACTACTTCAACGTGGATGGTCATGACTCTAATTATTGTATTTCCCCCCTGCAGGGATCTATCAGAACAAATCAAAAACGTGACCATGGAGAGTCACATGAGGGCAGAGAACACAGAGTTAATGTTGAGCTTCCAGAAGGGGCAAGTCACCAGGCTGCAGTATAAGGTAACAACACTTTTCAAACTCTACTCTTCATACTCAAAAGAACATCAACTCACCGCCTTCCTCATTCCTCAGCTTCTGCTCAGCTCCCTCCGTGAGATCTACCAGACCTTGGAAGATGAGCTGGACAGGAACTCCAACCACCCCGCCGTGGAGCCTATTTACTTCCCATCTGAGCTAGCCAGGCTGGAGTCCATTGAGAAAGACCTGGACTACTTCTACGGTCCAGACTGGAAGGAGAAGATCGTTGTACCCGCGGCCACAAGAAGATACTGTGACAGACTCCGCGAGGTCGGTTTCTTGCTAATGAGCACGCGTTTACCTCCATGATAAGATGATGCTCATCCATGCGATCTGATTTTCAGATTGGGGAGAAGAACCCAGAGTTTCTGGTGGCCCACGCTTACACCCGTTACCTGGGCGACCTGTCTGGTGGCCAGGTCCTCGGCCGCATCGCCCAGAAATCCATGGGCCTGAAAAGCGGCGAGGGTCTGTCCTTCTTCGCTTTTCCGGGCGTGTCCAGCCCCAACCTTTTCAAGCAGCTCTACCGGAGCCGCATGAATGTGCTGGAGCTGAGCGAGGAGCAGAGAAACGGCGTTCTGGAGGAGGCCGTCAAAGCGTTTGAGCTTAACATCCAGGTAGGGGATCATTACTTAAATCCACAGGTGGGGGCTTCGGGTCACGACTCAGAGACATACTTATGACTTGCACATACTGTACCTCTGCTAGGCTCACTCATCCCTCTTCTCCAGTCAACGTATTTCTCACCGATGTTGTACGGATTGCGTTTTAGGTCTTTGAGGATGTGCAGAAGATCCTGAGTGTGGCTGAGGACCATCAAGACTCCAAAGTTGTGAAAAGTAACTCTGCTCTACAAAGCTCCGTGATGGGCGCTCCGCTCTTCAGGATGCTCCTCGGAATCCTGGTGGCTGTTGTCACCATGGGAATCTGTATGTCGTAGGGCTTTGTGTATATAATGTGAGTCACCTCAGGGTGCAGCTTATAGCACATAACCATGACTTCATTAAAACGGTTGTGGTATTGGAACGTTCGCACAGACCAGCAAAAATGAATGACAACATGACTGGCCAGTAGTTGGCGATGTCACTTTGTAAAGAAACACTATGCAAATGGTCGCCAACTGCTTTTAGTCATCCGTCTCAACAAAAAATCATTTTGCTAATGTGCGTGAGTGACAAGTTTGATGTCAACGCTACAATAGAGTTGAGATCCACCATGATAGTTTATATTGTGACGTCCTTTCTCTTTGTTTCGGTATTTTCCATTGTACAGCTAAGCCATAACACTGGCGTTTGGCTTTTCCAAAAGTCTGCGTTTTCACACTCAGAACACTGTTGCCATGTGAACAAACTGCCAAAAACGACAGCACTTGACTCCATTTGGAGTTTCAAAATGGTTCCGTGGAAAAAAATGCTACCCAAGTTCTTTGAGCGCCGTCTTGGGGAGGTCATGAGCAAGACGACTGTTTTCGCTCTCTTCCATTTTATGTGAACATCACCATTCAAATAACTGCTGGCAAGCCAGGTGATGTTGACAACACATCACCTTTTCAGAAGTGGTCTGAGACTAATTGCTGAATTTGTTTTTGTGGGTAAGAGAGACTAAGATGGACGGTTACAAGTGGACTTGGAAACAAAATTTCTTTTTGCATTCACATTGCAGTCAGTCAGCTGCTTATTTCACTTCCACTTGTACTTCAGGTCTTAATGGGCCTAATTCAGTGGAAAGCAAGTGAATCCAGAGAGCGTACTCATTTGTTTTTATTGCACAGGTTAAAGATTTGAAACTGAACTGAGACCACTTCCAGGATTCAATTCAGTTTTGGTTTCTTTGAATTTATACTATTTTACTGTAATATAATTGTACATAGAATTCAATAATAAACTGTAGTTATGTCTTATTTGACTGCCATGTAGGCACTTGTATGTTCGACTGCAACCGCATTTTCTGATGGTGTGTTTTATTCAAAGATGACCTTTTTCATCATAATAAAATGTTTTTTTGCGCATTTGCTTTTGTGAGTAATTTTTTGTTGGCTACCGTTCAAAGTGTCTTTTTTTTAAAGGCGTACACAGGCGAACAACCATCCACACTCACACTCATAGGGACAATTTAGAGTATTCGGTTAATCTGCCATGCATGTTTTTGGAATGCGGGAGGAAACCGGAGTATCCGGCGAAAACCCACGCAAGCACGGGGAGAACATGCAAACTCCACACAAGAAGGCCAGAGCTGCCCCCAAATCGAACCCTACACCTGTGCACTCTTGAGACCGACATGCTAACCCGTTGACCACCGTGCCTTCAGTTTCGGTCCCAATTTATTATAATGAACATCTTTAACTGCTTCAAAGAGTCATTGGTCAATTTAAATTTTTTTGCTCCTTGTTTTGTAGGGAAAATAGTTGCTTGGGAAGTCTGAAAGTTGCTAAAACTAGCAAATTTGTTGCCAAGCGAGCATTCAAGATCTTTCTTGACCCTATGCATGTTTTTAGATTGTGGGAGTAAACCAGAGTACCTGCAGAAAAGTCAAATTAGCACAGGAGAACATGCCAAGTCCACAAAGGAAACTTGAGTCCAAGGTTACTGGAAAGCTCACAAAACGGAGGCAGATGTGCTAACCACGACCACACCGTGCTGTCGCAAACAAGGCAACAGCGAGATGACAGTACATTGTTTGAAACATTCTATGCTTTAATGATGGTTAGATAACTTTTCCTACACATTCGTGGATTGCACATAAATTAACACAGATGACTGAGCAGCAGCAGGCAGCAGGGTGGGAAAGAAAAGAAAAGAAAAGAAAAACCTAACAAGTGACGCAAATGACAAGTGTGCTGGTGTCTGGCTCTCCCTAGTGGACGACTACAAATTGGAAGAACACCATCGACATGATTGTACTTCACTTCCTTCAACCTTACAAGGCACAGCAGCTTGGGCTAACTGAAAACGTCACTTGTTAGTTGCTGATAGATACATTCAACTCTACTGCTGGCAACAAGCATACAAACAAGAGCTTGATGGAAATGCATCACTTGCAGTATGAAGGCCATCAACTAAACAGTCAAACATCATAAAAAAGGAGCATATTCCTTAACTCATAGCCCTCTATAAGAAAACTACATGTGAAGATTTATATTCAAAAAAAAAAAACAACAAAATATTTGCAATATAAACTAACCCACCCAATTCATTTTGTATAAAGAAGTATTAGGGCCACACTGAAACGAACTGGGAAAATAAAGTTGAAATAATTTGGTAAGAATAAAGTTGTAATGTTGTGACAATGAAGTTGGAATATTCAGAAATAAGTCACATTAACTTCAAAAAGAAATTTCTATTTTGATGGGGGTGGGGGGATATGACAGACATTGCAAGAAGATGACATCTTCTGACAAAAGAAACGTTTTGCACTTACAAATCGAAATATGGCGTGAATAAAGTTGTAATATTTGGAATTAAAGTTGTCATGGTGCAAAACAAATTATGAGAAAAATGTGATATTAAGAGAAAAAGTAACTAATTACATTCTCCAAAAAATATTACAAGAATATAATTAGAATTGTGCTTTGAAAAAATGTTTTTGACACTCCTTTCATATATTGAAACAATGAAATGGTGCCATATTATTATTAATATTATTTTACTGTGATAATGACACAGTCATGGGATGGTCTGCATGTTCTAAAGAAAAAAGCATCTCGGCACACTTCATGTTCGTGTAAGTGATTCCAACACTTTTCTATTATCGCATTAATAATCCATGAATTAATTCATCCCGCGGAGGATATGAAGAAAAACTCTCTTCCTCTTGAATCTTAAATCATGACTACTGTACCTGCAGTCTTTCTGTTGATGTTTCGTATTGCACATTTCAAAGACTGTTCAGTGACATTAGCGACACCTCACTGCCGCATAATTAAACCTAAAATATAAATACCATACATTTTTGAGGCTATATTAAAGTGAAATTATTTCTGGGAAAATCTGTTGCTACATGTAGTTTTCTTTCTTCGAGTTCAAATTGGCACACTGCCCCGTTGGAAACAAACAAACAAAAAAAAACATCAAAGGTTTTACCGACCAATCAGATCCAAGCAATTACTTTAATGTACAATTTCTATGCATGTAAGCAATTCAAGAACATGAGCACAAAGCCGCACGGCCTGGGCTACCTGTGCACAGCAGCTAGGACAGATTGGCCTAACAAGAGACAGTTACTTGGAGCCAAGCCTGGGGATTACTTGTGGGCGGGGCTCAGTTGGCTTCGTAGGTGGCGAGCAGAGCGGCGTCCACGGGCTCCATGCAGGACGGGCAGGTAAAGGAGCGCATGAGCCAGGTGTCGATGCAGTCCAAGTGGTAGATGTGCAGGCACGGCAGGAACCGGATGGGGTCGCCGTACTCAAAGTCCATCATGCAGATCACACACCTGGGACAGATGAGTGACTGGACTGGTGCATTGTGGCTGGACAAAATATGATTTTTCTTCTGACAGAGCAATGCACTGATTCCCAAATCACAGTCCATGAGCTGGAGTAAATTTTCCAAATTTACTCAATATTATGAATTCATGACTACGAATTTGGGCTGAACAATTTAGTCAGATCGACGTTGCAATGGAAGAAAATGCAATTTACAAATCGCAAAGGTTGGAATAAAATCAAAACAAAGCTTTATTCTGGTCAGTCTGTAGACTTTATTTTTTTTTTTTTACATATGTATAGTTTGTTGATTTATTAATATAGTGTCTAGATAAGTTCAGTGCAGTCCACGTGGTTGCATGCCATTGTTTCATGAAATATGAAAAGTTCAATTATCTGACTATCTATCGACAAGGAATGGATGGATTTCACATTGGGATGTTTAAAAAAATAGTTAACATATATTGGAAACAAATATAACGATTTCTGTTAGATGTGATGGGACCAGAAAACTCTCAGTCAAATCCCCCCCAAAAGTCCAAGTAAAGTATTCACGACTCACTCTTTGACTTTGTGGTCGGAGGGGTTGGAGCCTGGATCAAAGATGCCTCTGGGCAGGTGATGGATGAGGCCGATACGCTGGGCGATGCGCACCTGCTCCTCCTCGCTCAGCTGACTGGCCAAGCGACTCTCCCCGGGGGTGGGATGGTACACGGGCACGGGCTGCGGGCGCTCCTGAAAAACCGGCCAAAAAAGAAAAAAAAAAATCACATAAGCCTTCCGTGCGTGCTTTGTACAGGGAGGTTCTTCGTATACACAACAGCCCCCCCCCCTCTCAAATTTGTTGTTACATTTTTCCTCCTTTTTAAATGAAAGTAAACAAAGGCTTGATTTTTGATGATTATCCTGTTAGCCTATCTTCTTCTATTTCTCATTCAACTACCACCTTTTCTCTATCAGTGTTTGGTTTGGATGTCCTGAAGCGCCACGTTGCCTCTAACGGCACAGTTAGTTATTTTCTATAATTCTTCTTTAACCCTTTTATTTGTAAATGCATTTAAGTGTTGCAGTGATGTGAAACACATTGAAATACTTGTGCTTGAAGTGCACAACATAAATAAAGGCGCCTTGCCTTACTTATCATAACTTAACATTTATTAAGACTTAGAAAGAATGGGTTACAGAGAAAGGCTTACCAAGACCTTTGTGGTTTCAATGCCTTTTAAGACGTTAAGGAAGTGCAGAAACCCTATGTGCTTTAACCATTTACACTTGGGCAATCTTCTGAGATCCAATTCAAAAATATAAAGACAATAATGTTGAGATTGACACTGTCAAGAGAGGTATTCATTGAACGCTGTGTTGATTGTTGGGGCTGTACTTTCTAGGTAATGTACCTTCTTTAGCAACATGAGAAAGCTCTCAGTGTGATGAAGAGCAGTTCGACTACGACCATAACAAAAAAAAAAAACCAAACAAAGAAACGGAATACCTCTCCAACAATAATCAAGCATTAGGTTTGTTTTATATGAAATAAGAAAAAAAAGACAAAATTGCGTAGGATAATATGAGCTTGTGTGCCTAGTATAATGAGCATAAGTGTCAATGTTGATGGTTAAATGTCGGCAGGTGGTTGGGTGATAAAGCTCCATCTTACACAGTAGTGGTTTATCGTGTCGCATATGTAGGTCGGTGTGGGGCCGGCTTGGGTCACCTGGTAGGGCGGCGGCGGTTCTCCGGGCAGGCTGCCCACCTCAGACTCGTTCAGCAGAGACAAATCATCCGCTCCTTGAGAAAACAGGCAGTTCCCCATCGAAGTGATAGCAGCATGAGCGACATACGCGCACACACACGCAAACTCGACGACGCAACTAGCTTGTTTTCTCCTTCCTTCGGCGTCTTTGCAACAACAACAACAAAAAAATTGTGGCCAAAATTCCACGTCACGTCACGAAAGAAACTCTCAGCGCTGTTTTCGAACAAAGGAAAATCTATCTGGTGACACTAATTTGAAGAGCTCGGGCGAGTTATTTTCGTGTCCTAAATTCTTGTGTTTACAAAATGTAGACCGGAAGTATAGTCTGGGAGTTTTTGACTACTTCCGCCACCGAGTGCGCTTGTCGTCACGACTAAAAATACATTCTTTGGTACTGTATTTAAAACGTTAAGATACTTTAATTTACAACAGAATCACACTGAACAAAAAATAAAATACATCCCGTCTTATCATCAATTATATACAGTATGTAAAGTATAACTTTACATACTGTACACCCTTACCGTTCCGAGAGAAGTGAATTCCGGGGTTACTTGAAGGCAACTTCGCAGGCTGAGGTAATCAGGACGCGCCCTTTTTGAGCTGCATGACTTCGGTGACGCTAAGCTAGGAGGGGCAAAGGAGTTGACTCATAAAAGATGGTGGCACACAGTACTACATACGGTTGCGCACAACTGTAAAATTACACTAGGGAATTGAGAATAATATTTCATAGGAAAACAATGGTGCCTCAAGTCATAAGTTTCGATTCAATTCGATTTTGATTCATCAGGTTCTGATTCTATAAAATAGCAATGTAAATGCTCGAATATTGATTCAGTAAAAATTAAAACTACACAAAGGATGGGAGATTAAAAAAAAAAAATAACCCTCCCGTTATGTTTGTCGGTCAAACTCACCCATTTGCAAGTTAAAGTAAATGTTGAAAGTAGTTTTTCGGTATAAGACTTCTGCTTGGGTTATCATGTATAATCAACAAGTCCAATAAAAATGGCATTTGTACACATTATTGTGGATGTATTTTTGTTAAAATAAAAACAAGCATTCACGCCTACCTACCCTGCTCACACTGAATAAGTGTGTCTGCTTGAGTTTATTGTATTTCTGTAATACAAATAAAAACACGTGACACCTACGGGTACAGTCAAGAACATCCTTTTTATTCAATCAGGTGCTGCTCTTCTCAAACTGCGTTTTTCTTCTTATGGAAAAGAAACTGTAATTAACACATGCATTTCACCTAGAGCTCTGGGGGTGTTCTCACAAAGAAATGGTGCGTAGACAGAGGCGCAGAGGAGCTGGGACTAAAAGGAGTGGGGCCAAGGGGGCAAGGAGGCTGCTGCCTAGTAACCATACACGCTTAAGAAAACAAACTAAACGAGAGAACACAGACTTGGAGCTGTCCAGCATGAGGTGAGGTGGAAGGGGAAAAATAACAGGGAACCCACCCCCCCAAGAGGTCATGACCTCAGGTACGGCCAGCCAGTGTGTTTGAAGTAGTTAATACTGCTGAGAGTTTTACTATGTAAAACTCACCATTAACGATAATACTTAGCACAGATTCCTTTGTGGAAATATGGTTGTGAAAATGCAAGCCCGCCCCCTTTCCTTCAACCTCATGCAGGATAAGTCCGGCAATAAGGTGCTTGTAGCTTTCATTTTAAGTCCAAGGCTTCCTGTCCTCAAAGAGATTTTAAACACAGCATACCCTGATAAGCAAATATCCCAAAAAAAAGAAAAAAAATCATCCAAATTATAATGAAACAAAAAGGGGGAAGTAAAACAAAGCCAAACAATAAATAACCAAAACAAAAGAGCAAACTGTTATCCTAGTCCGAGCAGCCCCTGTTCCAACATCCCGAAGCGGTTCATTCAGCTTCCTCCATCCCAGAAACAGCCTTGAACCCACTCATCCATTCCTTAGAGAAAAAAAAAAAAAAAAACGACCCAAGGACACCCCCAAAAGCCCGTCAGCGTCATTTGTTCACGTACATTAGCTGTTGAATGGAGAAGCAGAAGTGATGGGTATGGCGAGATACAATGTGAAGCATACAGACAAGAATAACATGTGAGCTAACTGCATTCTGCTCAGACAAAAAAAAGTTTCTCAGTAATATTTTTTTTTTTTGTTTTTTGTTTTTTTGGTCCCGCCCTTCAGCAGGAGAGAGCGAGCCAGTGAGCGAGAGTGACGGACACACAGTTTACATACTACTCGAGTGTCAAAGAGAAAATAGACAGTGGAGACAGGGGTTGGGTTGGGGGAGGTTCGTGGAGGGGAAAAAAAAGCAACAGCCCAACAATGACACTTTTTTTTGCCATCATTTATCGTGAAAGAACTAATTGACACCTTTTATATCTGTATGCAGATTTCAGCATTTAGATATAAGGAAGAGAAGGGAGGACCGATAATGGTTCATTTGAAACGTGCTCGAGCGCGGCACTCAGGGAATAACCAGCGAACCAAACAAAACAAAAACTGGATTACAAAATGGAGTCTGTGAACAAAAGGCACTTTCAAGGGACAACCTTTAACTGCTGGAAAACTATACACTACAGCACAAGCACTAGAAGAGTCATTTACAGAGGCGGGTGGAGGCGGCGAGGGGGGTGGTGGCGATATTAAGAATGGGGGGGACAACAGGGGAGACGCTCACAATGCTGCCTAAGGGTAAAGGGGTCTCGTGGTGTTTGTTTGGCCGCGTTCTACTTCATGTCGTGGCAGCGTGTCTCGGGATCACGCTTTTGTTTTTGGATTTAGGCCAATGTTTGGAGTTTTCTGCTGGTGAGTTTTAGGCATCGCTCGGATGAAAAAAAAAAAGTTGCCTGGTTTTCTTGACGTGACAGTCAGTTTTGATTGATGGATCAAACCCCCCGCCCCATCCACTCAATAGAAGAAGAATACAAACAGTACGAGAGAGAGATATAAGAGGAGTAATAATGCTTTTTTTTTGTTCATGACCATTTGTTTCTAATAGTTGTGAACAGAATTAATAATGTTTAAGGAGCACCAGTTTTCACTTGATGATAAAGAAGTTGTGTAGATTTGTTTTCCTTCAGCCCTCCCGCATATTTTTTTTTATAAACAAATGATTACACAGAAACATTAAAAAAAAAGAGACAAAGAAAATAAAAACAATACCCCCGACTTACAAAGACTATGATTTTTTTTTTCTTTTCTTAATCATGGCCCTCTAAGTTTAGAGTCCTGGAGCTTATGGACTTGCGACAAATACATTTTTTTTTCTCTTTTCTCGTAGCTTTCTTAAAAATCTCTAACAGACAAACACAATGATCTACCCAATGCATTGCACGTGGCTCAATCGACACATATTTCTCAATAATAATACTTTCCATCAAAAAACAAAACATTTTTTTTTTCTTCTTCAATCCTACAGTCAAAATTTGTTGACATGTTTATCTAAGGTATTAGAATGCTGCGCTGCTGCACATGTGTGTGGTGTCGTTTGGGGCTGGGACTGCAAAGGGAAGGTCAGGTGATGTCACCCGAAGGGTATTCTGGGAAAGCTTCAGAAAATAACTAGACTGCCCACCAGCTCGCGGAGCAAAAAGTTCAAAAGGAGCATACTTATATCATAAATATATATGTACTGTATAAGATCTCTCTCTCTCTCTCTCTCTGTATGTCTTTATAAAAAGCATGTTTACCGTCCTCTATAAAGATGTTTCCAGGCCAGGGTTTCCCAAATTGTGGGGTGGCACATTTAAAAAACAAACAAAAAAAAAAAAAACAAAACCAAATTTTTTTCGGTAAGATTATCAGAATAAAAGAAGAATACATTAAAATATATATGTTATATGTTATCATAAATTATATTAATTTAATGCAATCCGTGGTGTTAAAATTAATTGACAACTATTTTTGCCTTGACCAATGTAATGCAATTACCAAACCAGTTACGGAATCAATTTCAAAAACTTTGGTGAGCCCAACATTAATCCCTCTTGAGTGATATTGTTTAGTTGTTTATAAAACCAAATGAACAACAATATTTGGTTCGTAAACTGCAATCATGAGTAAAATGACTTAGTCATGCGCTTTTACGCAAAGTAAAATTGTATCCCATTATTTGATGAATCAATGGAATAATCTCTTCTAAAAATACTTGACAGTACCAGGTCAAAATGTAATACGTGATGGCTTGTGCTGAATTGGGAAACCCTGGCCAAGGCCAATGTTTTTAGCTTTGAGCATTAGCTAACATGCCAGAAAAAGAACCTGAAGTGTAAGACTAATTGCATGAAGTGAATACAGAGGCACTTTCATATTACTGTTAATAGTTTTGATATATGTTTTAGCACATACATGTTACACGAGAGGCCGAGACCCGAATCTCGGTCTTTACTATCCCTGCAAAACAGAACCTACAGCGAGGCAGTCCAGTTATTTTTTGATATCGGCTTTTGATATTGGGTTGTGTCATGATGCAAATGCTTGATGTGAACAGTTTACATGTAACAAATGTCAATTTGGACAAATCTCAAATGAATGAAAAACTATTAACAGAGGCATTTTGGAGAACCAAATATGAAAGGCTTCCCTTTATCATTCTATGACACGTGTTAGCGTGTGTGTGTGTGTGTGTGTGTGTGTGTGTGTGTGTGTGTGTGTGTGTGTGTGTGTGTGTGTGTGTGCGTGTTCCTTTGAGTGGACTATAGGGTGAAGCAACGCAGGGGATTGTGTGTGATGAGCTGGTGTTACCGTGCTGTCCTTGCGCGCGAGAGATTTTGAGAAGCTGTTTAGCTGACATCTACTCACTGAAGTCCGGGCCTGGTCCGAAGCATGCTATACAGTTACTGTGGCCAAAAGTGTTATGACATGCAAAACAATCCAAGTGGAAGAAAACCAAAAGAAAAAAAAATGCCAATAATAGATGAGATCACAAGAAAAAAAGCCCTAAAAGCTAAATGAAAGCTAATAATATGAAGCTTATGCTGTGTGTGTGTGTGTGTGTGTGTGTGTGTGTGTGTGTGTGTGTTTTTCTGGTAATATAAAAAAAAATTGAGAACAGGGATGGGCATTTGAATACGTTTCCTTGAATTGAGCTGTCTTTTTTCCCAATATTTTTTTTAAGATAGGAGAATGTATTAATGTAATTGAAATCCTGCCATGCCAGTTTCCAATGAGTTGTACTTCTTTAGATGGCAAACTATAGTGTTCCCCTGCTATATCTTTCATTGTCCGTGATCGTTTTATGAGGACCCAGGCAATTCTGGATTTAGTTTTATCAATCTTCAATGCAGTATCACACGGTGCCACGGCATATGGGGCAGCATTGAGCACAATTGGAAGCAATGCAGCGTGATTAAGAGTGAAAAGAAGAGGAAGAGAAGGTCCCCAACTACGTACGAATAATAGTCATTTAGTCATATTTTTTTTCCAAAATCTTGTTCTTGAACTGGACAGTCTTTTAATAATTTTATGTTATGATGCAAATGTCGTTCACTCTTTTGTCTGTAATTGCTTTTAAATGTTTATGTGAAGCACATTGAGTTACCTTCGGTAATGAAATGCAATGCAGCTGTTGTGAAAGGGCTATATAAATCAGGATGTATTGTATTGTATTGTATAATGTATAAATAAAGCTGCCTTGCCTTGATCGGAGAACTGCGCGAGCGAGAACAGACATTATTCAAGAATTCTTGTGTGTTTTAACAGTTTTAAGGGGTTTTGAAGTTTAAATGAGTTCAAAGTGAGGTGAAGAGGGAAAAACTATTTTTTTTTTAAAAAACCTTTTCAAATGCTCTTTCTATATGTTGTGGATGGGTCTGGTACATATCCTCTCTGGTGATAGTGGTGGTTGTTCACTGTAGTTGTCAGCCAAGTAAGCAGTTCACTCCATTTTGCCTCACAAGACACGATGAATCTATTTATTGTGCCCATCCCTAATTCTGATAAAAAATAAAATAAAAAAAAGAGTGGCTATGTGACAGACTATTTAAGGTAAGCTGGTTGCAAAAATATGTGTGTGTGTGTGTGTGTGTGTGTGTGTGTGTGTGTGTTGCACTTGAGGGGGTAAATTAGACCTGGATGCACAGCCACATCTCTGTCAAGCCTCCTTGGCCCTCCCTCATCGCCCTTGTGGCCGTGCATGTGCAATTCTGTTCATCCCGAATGAGAATTAATAGTGCATAGGTGATGGGATGAAAGAGCACATGTAGCCTTTAGTGTTTTAAACGCTTGCAACTGGCTAACGCTTATTCTCCCCCCCACCCCCCCCCAAAAAAAAAAAAAAAAAAAAAAGAAATAGTTGCCCTGATACTTGGACAGGTAAACAACAAAGACCAGCCACTTAGTGCATATAATGTCACACCATCTGATGGCGTCACCGGGATTGGCCAATCGCAAATCAATGGGTCTTCAGGGCTGAGCGAATGAGGTGCGTGAGAGGGTGGGGGTGGCACGCAGGGATGTGGCTGCGTGGGTGGTCTTGAACTTAAGTGGTGGTGGTGCTGGCCATCAAAGTGGGCGTCGCCAGGATCTTTGAGATCAGTTAGCGCAATTTAGGTGACTACCATTTTGTTTTTTAACCTAACAGGCCAATGCGTGGAGTTTCGTGGTGGAGAAGACAAAATGATAACAAAAATAAAAAGTAGAAAAAAAAAAAAAAAAAAAAAAAAAAAAAAAAAAAAAAGAAACCACAAATGTAAAAATTGGTCAATTTCCAGGTTGCCATATTTGTGTTTCCCGTCCAACATTTCCTTGATGAGCGTGCGACAGTTCCTAGTCTTCCGCCTGGCGGTGCGAGTCTGTCCACTCCATCTCATGGAGCCCTCCTGCATTTCTGAAGGCGGGTTGGCGGGTGGGGGGGTACGAACGTTCCAGTTCAAATTGGGAGTGGCCACTTGGGGTGGGGCGGGGCCATGTGGGGGTTCTGTAGTTGTACTTTGTACAATGTGGGCAAGTGAGAAACCTTTTTGAGTGTCAGCAGTCTGCTCTTCATCATTTTTTTTTCCAATTTTCATGACACCATTTTAGTTGATTCGTCGAGACCATGTCAGAGGAACCAGGACTGTGGAGGAGAAAAGACAAACAGTTAGTCATCGTTTTGCTTTTGCTGTGCTTTGATGCTGCCGCGGAAGAGTACCAGTGATGGCAAAGAGGGGAACTATGACAAAAATATGACTAAAATTAGCTTAGAACTCAATAGTGCCTTTCAAGGCACTCTAGCACACGATGATGAAGAGCCACAACCAGAAATGGATATGCGATGTGGTGAAGTGGCCTGGCTGTTCTGTTCTGGACTGCATTTACATTATCATTGAGTAGCAATGTAAGAGTAATGTTTTTTTCCGATTTAATCTAGCTGTTTCATAGTAAAATTGGTGAATTTAAATGTATTCACACATCTGTGTGTTCAAATGTATTCATTTTGTCATATCATTTGTTGAATAATTAGAAATAAATTACAAATTGTCCATTTTTTTACCACTAGGCGGCACTCTCCAATGCCTGTTTTTTTTTTTTTTTTTGCACAGCTCAGCTCTTCTACTTAGAGTGAAAAAAGTAATAAGGTCAATTTTGCTGCTCGCTGTTTTAAAGAGGGCTGACTCAAGCTTTTCTCTGATTAAAAACACTTGTGTTGGTTGACAGCTGTAAAGTGCAGGCCAACTATTCTTGTATTTTAACATGGATCCAGTTTCTGTCTACTGATAAAAAAAAAATCTCTGTGGTATTATTAAACAGCACTAAGGTGAAGACTCCTCTGAGAGAGAACGTTTTGGCTTTGGCCGATACTCTCTGGCTTTTGTTCGCATTCCACGAGCCTCGACCTGGGAAGTGCGGCAAATCAGGCCGCCGTGTTGTCACAGTTGTGTTCAAACCTCTCCAAAGTTTCAATCCTCCCTCTTCTTTCCCAGCCCTGACTCTTTAGCGTTTGTAGTCGATTCATCCTCCTGGCTTCCACTTCCATTAACCCCCTACTCTCTTCCTCTCCATGTAATCACCACCCCCCTCACCCCCCATGTAATCCTTGGCAGAGGAAAGTAACCCCAGGCCCCCCCTCGCTCGTCCAAGTCCAACAGCCTATGACATCATGTCTGGTTGCCAGCAGCAACCAGACAGCCGGGACGTGACTGTGGAGTGCAGTGAGCTTCAACTAACTCCCTTGCTCTTTTTTTCTCTCCCTAGTCCTCTGTGTCTATGGCTTTTTTGGGGGGGGGGGCTCAGTCCTGTCCACCTAATATTGCTCTGCCTGCACCGCTCACATCTCGCCACCAGAGAGCTCCTCAGACCGCTTTTTTCCCCCTCCCAGACTCAGGCCTAGCAGTACTAGCAAAGAGTGACCCACATAAAAAACTTTGGAGTAAAATTACACAATGAGCCTAAAATGCATTATAAACTTTAGACGTAAACTTTACTTGACCTTCTCTAATCTTATGAATGCACATGTTCAACCATTCAATGTTTCTCGAACAAGGAGCTGAATGGCAAAATTTACAACAGGTGTTCAGATGTATCTCCTGGTCCACTGCAGTACAGTTCCCTGCACCGTGACACCTAGCAAGGCTACAAAGTCCTCACAGGGCGGCATCGGCAGGTTGTAACAGAGATTCAGAGAGACTGGAGGAGTCATGGAAAGACTCCTGCAAGACCTCATTAAACTGCTTGAGTTTTCATCATATGTCTTTGTTAGGACTACGAGGGTCAGGACCAGTTGAGACGAACACTTGGGCTCTGGTGAAATGTACTCGAGTACACGAGTGGAGATGTTTTTTTTCTCCCCCACTCACACACACACACACCCAAACGTTTGCTAAGCGATTGTAGAGGATAATAAGATCTTTTGAACAGATGTAAGCTGTCGTCAGGTGGGGGGAAAACGAGGGGCAGGAGTTCTGGCACGGGGGTTACGTGTTCATGCGTGTGTTCGATGCATGCTCAGACACATTTGGATGGGGTTTGAATGCCCCCTCTGTGCCAGGGCTGCATCTGTGGAAGAGTGGTGCAGGTGGGGGAGCCTGAAAACACAGGAGGGAGCAGCAGGAGGGGGAAAGAGAGGGAGGGGGTGTGCTGTGGCAGCCGAGCGGAGCTGGGGAGCAGGAGGAGGGGGTGAGTCGGGCTAGTTGCAGATTGCTTCCATGTGTGCGGAGGGAACACGGCAGAGTCGATTTGGCTGCAGGCAGGTGCGGTTAGCCCCTAATGAGAAAAGTTGTGTTGATGATGGAGGAGGCCCAAGACACTGCAGCCCAGCGGCGTAGCGCAGCCAAGGCAAAAACCACAATGTAGTGCACTCGTGGCCTCACACGCTGCTCTAATACACACTGTGGGGCCTTGTGGAGATAAATCAACACTGGTCCAGCTCTAACTAACTGGCAATGTTTACATTCACGGCAGGGAAGCTACCGTAGGAACAGAAACTGTAAACCGGTACTGAAACTTAAGGCCTTCATACGTGCACAACATAGATCAATGTAGGTGGGCGATGACCAATATCAAGCCCATTATAATACACCCCTGCGGGCATTTCACAGCCACGTCTTTGGATGTGGAAAGCTATGATGTCAATTCAAACAAGCACCGTGTCTGAGCTAATCATTCTGGTCGACAAAAGTGCTGTGAACGCATAAACATCAAAGCAGGCGCCAAGGAAAGGCCAGTGAAATGAGAACATTCAGATCTTTGAACAGATCACACAGAATTCGACCCAATTCAAAACAGCGATCCCGCAGCTGCGGTCTTCAAGGTAAATGACTGAAAGTGCCACAAAAGCGGATCATGTTGATAGTGAGTGGGCCGTAGGTGTGGTTTAGCTGTATCCCGATTCAGGGGCTGGACCCCGAGCAGTGATCCCCAAGCACTTGTGGTCATCAGGTGTGCCGCGGGTTATTATCCAATTTCACCGAATCGGTCTGAAAATTATTGCGACAAAGAAAACCGAACCCGAATATGATTCTTCTTCCTGTAATATGTGGGCTGTATTACACTGCTCCTGGTGGCCAAGGTGTGCAACCATAAGGAACTCAATGTTAATTGGGACTGAAGCAAGAAATTATGATGTATAAAATGTTTAATTCTTTATATCCTATGATGTCATCACTACATATATTTTTTTAAACATAATATACAATAGACTAAGTTACCCAAATTCTGGGGTGTGTGTTTTGAGGTGATGGAATGGCATTTCCATTCATTTCTGGTCTGCTCTGGGTTTCGAGCACTGAACATATTAAACTCGTAAGTCAAGGTACCACTTTATATAATTTTTGTGACAATTTTGTTCAGTGGCATGTAAAATATGTGCCTTGGTTCGATAAAGGTTGGCAAACAGAAACAAGACCATTGACTCTTAAAATTGTTTTTACTATTGCTAGTTTAAAAAATTATTACAAATCTAGTTGATTCACTCACTAAAATTGGGACTGATTTTAAAGTCGGACAACGTACAAGCAACCAAGCAAACCACGACAGTTTTCACATTTGATGCATTTAAGTTATTGTAGAATGCACAATGTACAACTCCGGTTATGAAAGACTTTGCCTTTCTTCTTGCTCCTGTGTTGCTTTGATGCTCGTGTTGTTTTTCCAGCATTAGCGTTCCGATACCTCGCGTGTCTTCTTGATTTGTTTTGACAGCTGACAACAGCTCGAAAAGACACTTACTGAACCTAAAGCACTTAAATAGAATAGCAATGATCTGAACAGTTAGCGTTAGCAGCCGTGTCTCTCAGATAGTCAGTATTGTGTGAGCGCTTCAATTCTCAGCTTTGACTTTCCATATCGAGTGAATATCCAAATAAATCTGAAATTGTAGTGCTTAAGTGTGTATTTAATGCGCGTTAAAAGGATGGTGCAGTCTGTGCAAGACTTCATGGTTGAATGATATTTTCCAACTCCTTTTGTCAAGATTCAAGATGCAACATGGTAGCATTATTAGCCTGTCGGAATTCTAGGTGGCTAAATGTTAGCATCATTAAGCCCTTGAAAGGGTTTTACTTTCGACGCGCTGGATTTTTCAAAAGAGTTAAAAAGTCAATACAGGGGGTCCTTGGTTTATGATGGCTCCAAAACGAGGCGCATAATCAAGCAGTTGGTGTGGCAACTCGAGAATACGACAACATCGTCAGTCAGCACAAGGAGGCACGCTCAGTTACTGTCATACTTGCTAGTTTTGGTTTGACTCTTTTACGTTTATGGCCTACAAGTGTTTGTCGTACAGATATCAACAGAAATTATGATTTTAGCATTGATTAGTGACATCTGCTTTTTCTTACACAAAATTAATTCAAAATAAAGATATCTTCATATAGTATATTGTACAGTGTTGTTTTCCGCGAATGACAGTGGTAGTGTGTCCTTTAAAATAGTGTGAAAAGAAGAAGACGTATCCCATCGGGACAGCCTTTGAATGCAGCCTCTCGAACTGGGTCACAACTAATGACATCCTCATCGCTATGAATGGCCCGCTGGGCCCTTCGAAAGCCATGCCGGTTGTTGACACACAAGTGTGACAGTGTGCATGCTTAAAGCGAGTGATGAGGAGACACGGGCGACAGAGGTGGACGGGTGGGTGTTAGTTGAATGAGGGAGGCTGGCAGGGTACCTGAGTCTGCTGGGGGATATTCAGAAAGTTGTCCCGTGTTCCGATGCCGACAAACCGGTTGGGAGCTGTGGAGCCTGGCGTGGAGTATGCTACAAACAGAGAGAGACAAGTGTGTACATGCTTTGACACAAACACATACACACCGAGCTCAGGCTAGAGTTTGATGCTCTCAGCATCATTATTTGAAAAATTTGGTCAGTTCAGTACATGGCAATGGATCACTGTCAAAGGAACTATTGGGAAAAGACAGTAAGGGCCGGTGAGAGTGACGCTCTCTTAGTCATATGGATGATTTGTTCATGTTGCGGGCAACTTAATTGTTATTTCCCTTCACTTAGCCATGTAATCTGTGGTTACGCAGGGGGATGTCGAGTCTGTAATGAAGAGTGCTAACATGAGGGAGCTATTTCAAACAAGTCACTAATGATCCTCAGCAGCCCCTGGGCCCGTAATCATACAAAAACCACTGAGGACCCGCTGTCGACATAATAATAGGGCGACCGGCAGAAGAACCGGATTCATCACCGGTGGCAACCGACGCTCCATTTACATTTAGCCGGCCGAAGAGGAGCGTGTGACACCAGGTGCTGATGTCACAGGATCAAACTTAGGGCAGTTGTGTTCACTGGACTCCAGCATGGCCGAGTGGAACTGACTTGAGGAAGGTGGTGGGGTGGGGTACGGATGGCTGGGGGGGGGTTAACAGTGACAGGGCATGACAGACAGTGAGTGCGCCGTTTTAAAAAAATGGATGGGCGCGTGTTCATAACCGCCATTTGCAATGTCTTTGAGAATTAGAGGTGGAAGGAAAACCCAAAGGTGACAACAGCCACCCGAGTGAGAAACAAAAGCGTGAAAAGGGGTGCTATTTATTTATATGTCAATATAAATAAATAATCAAGTGACGTGTCAATTGGAGAGAGAGAGAGAGAGAGAGAGAGAGAGAGAGAGAGAGAGAGAGAGAGAGCAGAGAACGGGAGGAAAGTGGGGGAGAGAGGATGACAGGACAGGAGGAGAGAAAGTCAAAACAAAAAGGATGAGAAGATGCCCTGCTTGCTCCGTCCAGCGCCCCCTCCTGGAGTGCCTCTCCCATGGCCCGACTCTTTCACCGCATCTGTGTGGGTGTAACCAAGCAACACCTCAAAACTCCTCTCCCCTGCTCCCCCAGTGTACGACTAAGCCTCATCGTTTGTGTTTAGGTTGCTCCAAATACATTTCCATGATTTCCATGTTGTTTGTTTGTTCTTTATTATTGTGAGATCTGTGTGAAAGTGACAGGGGGATTGGGTGCGCTAAATTGGGGCACGATGGTCTTTAGTTTTCTTTTTATGTTGTTGTTTTGGAGTCCACGCCAACTGCCCTAATTTTGTTCCCCTACAAAGGGAAAAAAAGAGAAACAAAGGGGAAAAGAACTGAGAATATATCAAATAAAGCAAAGAAAGCAAAACAAAAATAAAAAGAAATGAGAGAAAGGGGCGTATTGCCTCTGTGAGGCAGACATGCAGGGCTTGTGTCGATCAAAAGTTTTTTTTGGCTGCAGAAGCGACGTGCATGGGGGCCCAGCACTGATCTGTCCCCCGGTCCCCCGACTCCCCACCCCTCTCCCCACAAACTACACAACCCAATGAAGCCAACGAGAAGAGGGGGGGAGACCACACTGCCTCTTGTGGTGCTAGCATGAAAACCAACACTAGAGAGCGAGAGAAGCTCGTATACAAGACGGGGAGGGAATGAACGCAAAGACACGAGCAGAGAAGGGGAAGCTGAAACTCAGAGCCAGGGAGAGAGAGGAAGGGATACAGAAGTGATGGAAAGAGGACCTCTTGGTATGGCGAAGGCGTGGCGACTAATAGTTTTGGACCTTCTACTGTGGTTCCTTCAAATGGTGTAACTCCAGGGGCTGCTGAGAGTTGGAGCAGTTCACCATCTTGCGGGAAGCAGCTCAAGCCAGACAAGGGATAACTACAGCAGTAGCCATCGTAGTCATCCTGAATGTGTGCATATTCATGTGGTATTTCACGATATGTCGAAATCCAGAATCTTGGGACCCCCTCTGTGTCAATCGGGGGAAATAAGGTGAAAATAAACAAGGCTTTCTAAAAGCAACTATGACAATTTGGTTTCGACTGCCGTCTACGATAACTCTGCGGGGAGACTGGGGCCACAAGGGGGGATTTGTGGAGGGGAGTGGGAGTGACTTACACGGAGATGCGGGTGAGCTGAGTCCACCGTCGGTGGGCGTGCTGATGGTTTTAGAGTCGGGCATGGGGAGGGGCACGGGGCGTGCCACCGGGGGTGGCGGGGGCAGCAGGAAGGAGCCCGGCATTTTGCTCTGGCCACCTCCATTAGGCTGCAGACGGACCATATAGACAGGGTGAGCAGGACGGGACGCAAACCCCCACCGACATCACACAGGGAAGCCAGGCACACGACACCAACGTGACAACCGACACGCACCCGCTGACCCAGAGATGGCAACAGCGCACACACACAAGTACGCACCTTACACACCAGAAAGAGCAACAAGGAGATATATACGCACACACATGCACACGCACACACACACACACACACATACCCTCACAGTAAAATGATCAGTCTGGCCAAAAAGAATGGAATACATAAGAAAAGAACAAAAGAGTATAGAACATCTTTTCACAAGAGCGGAAGTAGACAAGGTGTTGTC